TTCTCGGGACTAAGCAGAGGAACAAGCTCGAGCTCCTCAGTGGGTGCGGCAAACTCCCTCCTCGGCAGGTTGGCCTTGAACTCGAGCGTCCCATCCCTACTGACGAGAGTTTCGAGGGCGCAGACCGATGAGCCTTTGAGTGCGGAGGCATAGCACTCCCTCGAAGCGATCTGTTCTCCTCGGACCATGCCCACGCCATTGGGGGTGGAATACTTCAAAACTTGATGAAGTGTCGAGGGAATGGCTCGAAATGAGTGGATGATGGGTCTTCCAAAGATGGCGTTATAGGCCGATCTACCGTCAATTACCACGAACTCGGCCATTTGGGTGACCTGAGTTTGGTCATGCCCAAGTGTGACCGGCAAGTCGATGCAACCCTCTGGGATGACCGATTCTCTAGAGAACCCAACCAGCGGTGTCGTGCTTTTCTTCAATTGCGACCTCGTCCATCCCAGGGCGAGGTATGTCAGTAAGGACACGATGTTAGCAGATACGCCTTCGTCTACCAGCACCCTTCTGACCACCACATGATCAATCAAGGGAGCGATTACAAGTGCGTCATTGTGGGGCAGGTGGACCTCCTCCAAGTCTGCACTGTCGAAGGTGATTGGGCAGGTCGGCCTCTGCTCCCTGATGATGCACACCTCGCGCCTGGCTGCACGAGCTAACTCCTTTCTTTTATGTCCGGACTGACCCCCGCTTGGCCCTCCGAAAATGGTATTGATGACCGCAGGTCGGTCTATGCGTCGGAGCGGCGTCCTCGAAAGCTTCCGCTCTTCCTTTTTCTCTGCCGAGCTGGTCCTGGGCTTTCCCACAAATTTCTTGAAGTAGTCATCTTGAATTAGATCCTCAATTTGGCGCTTCAACTCCCAGCGGTCTGACGTGTTGTGGTCGTGCTCCCGATGGAAGCGGCAATACTTGTCCTTGTTGCGCCTCTCCGGGGCTCCCCGAAGCTTCTCAGGGCGTTTGAGTAGTTTTTCCATTCCAGACTCCTCGATGTTCGTTAGGATCTCAGAAATTGGAATCGTGGTCGGGGTGAAGCGTTCGTAAGGTCGGCTCCTGGTTGGTCCGTTCACCGCCCTTCGAAACTCAGCTCGGCCACTGGAGAAAGATCCCTTGTCCTTGGACTTGAGATCCGCCTTTTCATCTTTTCCACTTCTACCCCGGTCGATCCCTCGTTCTGGTCGGCCGGTTTTGGTTCGGAGGAGCTCCTGTCCATCGATGACTTTCTTCGCCTTCTGCAGCACTTCAGCGAAGGTGGCCGGGGCCTCCTTTCCAAGCTTCACCGTGAGGGCTTCGTCGGCTAGACCGGTGAGAAAGTAGCACATGGCCGAGTCATCAGAGGACTGTGCGACCTTCAATTGATCCTCCTGGAACCTGGTGACATATTCCCGCAGCGTCTCACCTTCCTTTTATCTGATGGTGGCGAGATGGGTCGCTGTCTTTTTGTCATAGTGCCGAGAAGAGAACTGGGCAAGGAACTCCCTTCTCAGCTGAGCGTAGGTCGAGATCGACCTTGCTGGCAGTCTTCGATACCACAAACGCGCGCTGCCAGTAAGCGCGATCTGAAAGGCGCGACATTTGATTGCGTCTGATGCCGCTTGAAAATCCATGAGGCCCTCAAAGACCTCAACATAATCCTTAGGGTCCTTTGACCCATCATAAGATTTCACAGTAGGAGCTTCCAAAACGTCCGAGGTGAATGGTGATTCTCCCAGGTCGCCATCGTTCAGTGGACCTTCTTTCTGCTCACACTTGGCCTTTAAGGCCTCAACCTGAGCATTGAGCTTGCCCCTCAGCTGGTCGAACTCCTCCCTTGTGATCACCCCATCGGGAGTTGCTGGGTTGTGAGAGGATTCAGCCTGCTGGTTGGAGCTCATGTATGAGCGGGATGGTGACTGTCCTTTTCGGAGAGATGAGCCTCTCTTTCTGTTGAG